GTCCGGTTACGTTAGGGTCACATGACCGAGAGCGGAGCAGAGAGGCTGTAGCGAGGAGCCCCCGCCGGGGAGAGAGAGAGAAAGAGGCAGGGAGGAGGGGGAGGGGAGGCGGCGACGAGAGCTGTGGCGGCAACAGCAGCAGGAGCCACCCCTCCCCCACCCCCCTTCGCCATGCCTCCTGCCTGGCTGGGCTTCTCTTTGTGCGCGCCGCCGCCGCCAGCGAGGGAGCTCCCAGGCCTCACCGGCGGGACTCTGCACTCGGGGGCAGCGGCGATCGCTGGAAGGGGGACGAAGGCGGTTCGGCGGGCGTGTACTCGTTCAGCGTAGAAGCCACTGAAAGCGCCGGAGCGCGCAAGCGAGAGAGGCATCTTCAAACCTTCGCTCCGTTCGCGGTTTCCCTGGGTTCTCTAGTCAGACGCGAGAAGCGCAGATCGCCACGAGGTGGCCAAAACAAAACAAGTAGGCATAGTTGGATAAGAGGAGGAGGGGCGTGCCTTGTAGGTTAATTCTTTGATAGCTTGGTTACAAGTTTTAAAAGCAGGTCGTTTGTTTTTCTAAAATGCAACTTCAAGGAGTCCTTTAAGCCTTGTTTATGAAAGCTATCAAGTATTTGACTGCTGGGAAGTTTGGAATATTATAACTGCAAATAGAAGCTGAGAAAAAGTTGGAAGATAAGGCTAAATTTTAATGAAAACAGTACCTACTGGTGTTCAAATTAACTTAAAATAGAAGGATGTTGTTCATAATATGAATATATAGGCCATGGTCTGTTAAGTAATGGTATATCCTTACAGGGTATAAAATTGGTGTTTACATGCACATAATGTGATGGTAATTGACTGTTAGTAACTAGTTTCTTATTTCACAGCTGAAGTGTTGAGATTCTAGAAATGTAATGAAGTCTCCATTTTATAAAAATATAGTAGGAGTGCATAAGAATCTAATTATCTGTAAATGATGCTGTCTGACCCAAATAGGTTTTTTTTTTTTTTGGCTGAGAAATGAATTGAGTAATAGTAGAACATAGATCTGAACTTTAAAAGAAATCAAAGAAATGATAGCAGTAACTTATTGGTTCAGTTTATGTTTGTTTAGAAAACATTCAGTTTAGTGGCATGCCATACGTTTGTGCTGCACCAGTGTTTGTAATACATAATTCTGGCACTCAAACACCCTGATATTTTTGGTCAGGTATGCAGAATACTCTGAAGTGTTTCTCTGTTGGGGCTGAACTAGGCTATTTCTACACTTGAGTTTATCTGCACTTGCTCTGCTGTTTTATGTATTTTTAGATTTCTTAGCAATCTGAAAGAAACAAGATATTTTCTTAAGGGCAGTTCTTTCTGAGTTACTACCAGATAAATGAGTGTAGCTGTTGTTTTTTGATAGGTCTTAGTTTGAGTGGTCATGACTGACCAGATAGGCGGGATATAAATAAAATAAATAAGATAAATTGAGTAAAATTTTCTTTTTACTATGGCTTTTTATGTACTATTAGGGCCGTTTGTACAACAGTGGTAATTAAACTTTCCCTTTCCCACAACAACCATTACCTTTAATGCATGCCCTCAACGCATAGGGCTTTTCCCCCCACATATTTTCCAAACCAAAAGTAACCAGAAGAGAGTTTCCCATTTGAAAAGGCAGTACAGAAGCTTTGGTCAGGAGGGTCTGTGATTGCAGCCTTGAGAGCCACATGTAGTTTATATGCTGCATATGTTTTCTATCTTTGTTGTACAAATTAATGTTGAGGAAGCATTTTCAGTTGGAAACAGAGAATCATTCCCTGGGATTTAACACCTAAAGTTCTGTTGTGTATAATACCTTTCATTTCTCAGAAGTTGACAATCTTTATTAACTGCCTTAAGCAAAGTAATACTAGTAAAATGGAGACCTGTATGTGGGAAACCTCAGGTTTTCAGAGCCATTTATCTTTACTCTAGTTTGGTTCTGCTAATTTCATTATAAATACAGTGGATCTGGAAAGATTTAGGTATTCCACATAAAGTATATGTTTCACTTTAGTGTTTTGGTACAGTTT